ATTAAAAAAAAAAAAAAAAAAAAGAACAGATTCCTGGCCCTCCATCCACACCGATTAAATCAGACTTAAGAAATGCTGCTGAAGATTACAATTTGTTTTAAAAATTCCCAGTGGATACTAATTTTCAGCCAGGGCTGAGAACCACTGGCCTAGACTGGTTGAAAATCTTATATATCTTGACAATTATCATAAAAGGCAATCTTTTAAGATCAACTTAAGCTATACAGAATGGATGAAACTTATGCTCTAATTTACTAACTTGGGCCTATATGCCAACAATTAGTCTTGAATTTACAAAGCTGCTATCTTCTTTTCTGGGATGAGGCATTATCAAGAAACTCATGACAGTAATTCACTTACACTCCTCTTTACTTGGTGAAGTTACATTCAGTTCTGTCGGAAGCGGCTGCTGGCTGGGACTAAGAGTTGGCGTGGTTATAGAGGTATTGTTGTTGTCACTGGTGGTCTCTTCGGAAAACAAATCTGATTGGCTGTTACTTGTACTTGGAGCGGAATCATCGTCTGGTTGTTTCTTTTGAAAATCTGAAAAGAAAAAGTAAGAAAACCAATTTAATTAAGGCATTCATAATCTCCTTGGGTATCAGAACAAAATGAAAGTTAGCAGAAAGATAAATGTAATAGCAGCAATAATAAAGACTAATTTGGGTGATTAAAAAAATGGAGGTGCCCTGACCGGTGTGGCTCATGTAAACTGGTTGGAGTGTCATCTTGTACACCAAGTGATGGTGGGTTTGATTCCTGGTCAGGGCACTTACTGGGGTTGCAGGTTTGATCCCCAATGGGGGTGCATGTGAAAGGCAACCAATGTGTGTGTGTGTGTCTCTCTCTCTCCCCTCTTTCTCTCTCCACCGCACCCCTTCCTCTCTCTAAAGTCAAATTAAAAAATGGAAGTAAAATACTGGTCAAAAACATTTAAATTAATAGAGGATAACTACAATGAAAGCTTTCCAAGGTCTTCACATTGTTTAGAAGAATAGTAGAATGCTGATTTTAATGTAAGACTTTGCAAAGCAAAATGCATGTTAAAAATTTAGGGATAATAGAAAGAAAAAGAAATATAGAAAAGTTGCTCAAACAAACAGAAGACAGGTAAAAAGAGAAAAAAACTGCAGGAAACAAAGCAGGGTAAATAGAAGACACATAACAAAATAGTAGAAATAAGTACAGACATACTAGTAATGGTAATAAATGTAGACAGACTAAACTTAGCAGTTAAAAGAAAGTTCAGACTGAATAAACAAAGTCTTGTTCCTTGCAGTTTACAAGAGACATACTAAAAACATAAATATGAGGATATAGAAAACTTAAGTCTATAAAAATATACCCACAAATACACAATTAAAAAGCCAGTAATAGCTCGAATATTGTTAGAAAACAGACTTTAAGGCAAAGAGCATTATTAGAGATAAAGAGGATCATCATATAATAGTAACTAAAGAATTTTTTATCAGGAAAATAAAACAATTCTGAAACTGTATGTACCTATTAACAAAGCCTCAAAAGCGAAAATGATTGTATTTACAGAAAACTGACAAATTTACTAACATAATAGAAAAATTTTAATATACTTGTCTCAGACAGAATAACTAGTAAAATTCATTAAGATTAATAAGCATATACAGAGTAAGGATAAAGTAGGTTTACAGTTGTTTATATGAAAAATATAATAATAAGTAATACAAGAATCAATTGTTTCGCATAGAACTGCAAACCTACTTTTGCCCTGTATAGACTCATGCACCCTACAATTAGATAATGAATTTTTAAAAAACACATGAAGAATATTTATAAAAACTAACTAAAACCTGGCTAAACCATGATCACACACATTAGGCCATAAAGCAAAAGTTTCAACAGATGCCAAAGAGTTAGTATGATACAGACATGATTAGCTAGCTGATCAGAGAACAATTAAGTTAAAAATCCATAATAAAATTCTATATGGAAAAATTTAAAAATACATTTTAAGCTCATGGTTTAAATCAGAAATTAGAAAGTACTTATAATAAAATTACTACTTATCAATATCCAGTAACGATAAAGATGCACATACATTACCTGTACCACAGTCATTTCATTCCTAAATATATCCCTGAGAGAAACTCCACACACATGTACATCTTAATTTTATATTGTCCATAACAGTAAAAAGTCAGATATAACCTGAAGGTTTATATATTGCAATGTAATGAGATAATAGAATAATGTACATAGTGAGAAAAAGTAACTATTGCCAAATACATCAACATGAATCTCAAAATCATAACATTGACCAAAAAATGCAAGGCACTAAATAATATAGTAAGATTGTACCTACATACATCTTAAAAAATAGGTAAAACTCAATATATTGTTTAGGAATGTGTATGTTTAACCACTAAAAAATATTAACACAATTCAGGATAGTGGTTACCTCTTAGGTTGAGGAAGGGAGATAAGATGATGAGAGATTACAAAAATATTCAAAATTATAGGAATTCCACTAACAGAGAATGGATTAAAATGGTATATTCAAGCATATAATGGAATGTTCTATGACAGTTAAAATAAGTGAATAAAGCTACAAATATAACAGAAAAATCTAAAAAACAATTCAGAGAGAAAAGCAACCCACAGAAGGATATATAGTATAATAATATTTATATAATAAATTTAAATTTGTAAAATACCATTTATTATTTATGAACACATAATTAAAATACAAAAACACGCATGGAAATGACACACCAAATTCAAGATAGTCGTTATTGGGGGAGGGAAAAGAAGAGATTTCAAATCTAGCTGTACTTTTTTATTTCTTAAAGCTGATGATAGGTTAAAATTATTATGTATGTTATGTATATGTTTCATTTTAAAAATCTACCTGGGGGGCAGGTGTGGGGTGGAGAGGGTCAATGGGAAAAAAAGGAACATTTGTAATATTTTCGACAATAAAGATAAATTTTTAAAAATCTAATGCTAGACTATGAAGTACAGATTATATTTTACTATGTCAATTCAGAGAAGGATAGAAGATCCTGGCAACTCCACATTGCTTTATCATTTGAACCACAGAGAAGCTGCTATTATGCCTTATCAGACCTTCTGTTTTGAGATATTGAGTATCAGAATATGTTATCATGAGGCTAGGCACTAAGTGAAATGTTTTAGGTATATAATACATTTACTTTAATCCTAGAGACAAGGCTAACAAGGGAGGTATAGTTAACACCACTTTACTGATGAAGAAATTGAGGCTCAGAAAGTTTAGGTCATTTGTTCCAAGTTACAAGTTAGTAAATAGTAGGATCAGGATTTAAATGTAGCTCCATCTGACACCAAAACACATGGTATTCAATCACAGGATGTAGGAATGGTGAACACTAGACTGGCCAGGAAAAGGCCTCCACATCAAGACCCTACCCAGTTATAGCAGCAAAGATGAGTGCAATGGAAAAATCACTACCCTGCTGTGCCCATCACTGTTCTCAAGTCTTACTGCTTCTTTTCTATGTATTTATTTCTCTTAGCCAGTCTTATTCTTCAGTGTTTTGACATTTTTAAATGGCTTATTATCTCAATGTTATTTATACAACACTTTGGAGGGAAAGATACTATATAAATGGAGTAAAAATACTGCAATAATGATGCTTTTTTAATGTCATGTCATCTTATTAGTTCTGCTATGTCAATAATCACTGTGTCCCTCCTATAACTACCTCTCTACCATTTAACTGGAAATGCTATAAGGCCCTAAAAGAACTGAAATTGAATAATCATTGTACCATCTAGCACAATCCCCAGTCCTCTTTGATGTTAAATGATGTTTTTATTTAAAGACACTGTTACCAGGTCCCACCCACATAATCTCCAGTCCAGTCCATGCTTGCCATGCTCCTCGATGCGATGCTCAGGTGCTTTTCTTTAAGTCTTCTTTTGTAAATCTGCAGTTGACACAATATATCTTCTATTTTTAGTTGTTATTGTTGCTAATGCTTACCCGAGGATATTTTTTTCCACTGATTTTTACAGAGTGGGAGGGGGGCAGGGAGGGAGGAAAGAGATAGCGAGAGCGAGAGAGAGAGACATTGATGTGAGAAAGACACATCGATTGGCTGCCTCCTGCACATGCCCCAACCAGGGCTGGGGATCGAACCTGCAATCTGGGTATTGCCCCTGACTGGGAATGGAACTCAGGACCCTTTGGTGCATGGGCTGATGCTCTAACCACTGACCAGGGCACACTGTACCTACTTTTAACCCATCCTTCTGCTTTTCTGCACCCCCACAGGGTAATGGTGTGAAAAAATTATCAAGCGAAAAGTCTTTATTACAAACCAAACTGGCTGCACACAAGAGAAATAGTATAAACTCTATACATTCTCTACTTCAATTCAATAAAGAACCTAAGAATCATAATTTTTTACAAGGAGAACTTTAAATATCCAGCTCAATCCTCTCCCTACATAGAGAGAAAGAAAGTTAATGCCAACTCACCAGAAATTCAGAATTAAGCCTCAGAGTTTTCTAACTCTTAGGCTAAATTAGCAGCCTGTACAATAGAAGAGCTTTAGAGTTTAATCTGGATTCAAATCCTGACCACTATTTCCTGGGCATATGGCTAAAAGCAAATTGTTTAATCTTTGGGGGTCTTGTCTGTAAAATGAAGGAAGAGAGAGTTAATTCTACCTCTCAGAATAATATCAACTAAATAAGATAATGTACTTATGTCATGTATCTAGCACATGAATACTCAACAAATATCATTAAAAATAAAAGGTATTTTCCTAGTTTAAAGAAAGGGCATGGAATTATCTCTTCCATTTAGCCCTGATGTTTACTTTACATTGCAGTTCTTACTCTCTTGTTTCTTTTCTTTCTGAATCAGTCAGCATCCAACTTCTGACATAAACAAAGTTCCCAGAAGTCTAGAATAGCAGATTTACACTTAGTGGCCAGATTATTATGACCACCTGACGTTTGTAGGCAAATTAGCTATAATTTCACGCTGAAGTTGCTAGAGGGCCAGACCATTATAAATAGGGAAGCAAGTGGTTTACCACGACAGTAGAAGTGATTTTTTTCTAAAGATATGGGTAAACAACACGATTTAATAGCCTTTGAACATGAATGAACGTGGGATATATTTGAACATCAGTGGCCAGATTATTATGACCACCCCCTCAGTACTTCATTGGGCCACCTTTTGCCTTCAATACTGCGGTGATTCTTCTTGGCATTGACTCCACGAGATGTTGAAAGGTGATGTGAGGAATCTGACACCATGCCTGATGAATAGCACTGTCCAGTTTTGTGAGATTTGAGGTTGTGAAACCAGCTGCCTGATGGCTCTTTTAACTTCGTCCCACAAATGCTCAACTGGATTGAGATCTGGTGATTGTGGGGACCACCTAAGCAAGGTAAAGTCTCCCTCATGTTCTTGAAACCACTCCTGCACAATACGAGCACCGTGGCATTGTCTTTCTTGTTGGAAGAAGCCATCTCCCTTGGGATACGCCATCAACATGATAGGATGAACTTGA